GGGAGATCCCGGTGCACCGGGAGGAGGGGAGAGATCCCGGTGCACCGGGAGCGGCGGGTTGCTGCGGAGCGGGGCGGCGGGGAGGCAGGCGTTCCCGTGCAGGGGGATGGACACGGACGTCCTGTGCAGCGAGCGGAGGCCGTTCTGCTGTATGGGGGATACGGGAGTCCCGTGCACCGGGAGCGGCGCGGCGAGGGGGGGCGGAATCCCGGTGCACCGGGAGCGGAGGGTCGCTGAGGGGGGGGCAGGCTGTCAGGCGTTCCCGTGTACCGGGGTTACGGACGTCCTGTGCAGGGAGCGGAGGCCGTTACCCCGTACCGGGGCCACGGGAGTCCCGGTGGTGCTGCGTGTCCCCCCCCGCACCGGTGGCAGGGAGCTCCCCCGCACCCGGGCTACGGCCGCCCCCTGCGCCACCGGGGGTGTTGTCCGGAGCAACGGGGGCCGCTGCGGCTGCCCCCGCCCCCGCAGCGCCCCGGCCGCTCGGTACTGACCGCCCCTTCCCGTTCCCGCAGGTCTCAGCCCGATGCGGGCTCAGTGCACCGGGGTGGGAGGCAGCCCCCCGGCGGAGCCCGGCTGCCCGCCATGCCCTGGAGCGTCCGGTGGGTGGGCGGTCGCGGCGCCCAGTCCCAGAAGCAGTGCAAGAAATCCTCCTTCGCCTTCTACCAGGCGGTGAGGGACCTGCTGCCCGTCTGGTTCCTGGAGGACATGAGGACCATGGAGGTCTTCCACTGGGAGGACGGGGGCAAGGTGAGCGTGTACTCGCCCTCGGAGGCCCTGCTCTACGCCCTGGTCCACGACCACCAGCCCTACGCCCGCCACCTCCTGACTAAGTTCCCTCAGAGCGCCCTGGCCGTGCCCAGCCAGAGCTTCAGCTGCTGCCAGTCCTCGGCCCCGCACCTGGCCATGGCCGTCCGCTACGACCGCGTCCGCATCCTCTTCCGAATCCTCAAGGCCATCCAGGCCTTCCCGCCGGGAGACAGGGCCGGCCACCTGGACCGACGGGGCTGCAGCCGCGTGGAGGGCGGCAAGACGGCCTTGCACGTGGCCTGCGAACTGGTGAGGCCCGAGTGCCTGCTGCTGCTGCTGGGGCACGGCGCGTCGCCCTGCCTGCGGGACAGCGCCGGCAACACCCCCCTGGACACCTTGCTCCAGCAGATGTCCCACACGCCGGCAACCAACGCGCGGGCCAAGCTCCTCTGCCTCGACTGCCTCTTCTTCTTCGTGCCTCAGGACCTCCAGTTCTCCATGAAGCAGCAGCTGCTGGACAACCGGCAGCGGTGGCAGGACCTCCTGGGGGAGAACAGGTTCCAGTGCCTGGTGGGCTTAGCTCCCCCCTCGCTGTTCGTGGGGGCCATGCGTGTCTTGATCAGGACCATTTCACCTGAGCATTTCCCGGAGGCTCTGGACAATCTGCCTCTGCCCCATTTCCTAAAGCCTTTGGATTTGAAACTGGAGAGCTAGAGGGGTGGCTGAGAGCCCCCCGCTCACCCCACAGGAACCAGACCGTTGTGCTAAAAAACCTCTCAGCATACAAAGCTGCTAACGCAGCAGCCAAGTACCTGTTTTAATTAGAACTGTATTTTTTAAACGAATTGTATCTGGCACTTTACAATATATTTTATTTAAAGATCCTTGCGGTGAGGTGAGGTACTCACCTCATTTTATAAAAACATTCTACAGCATGTACAAATTGGGGTGGGGAGGGGGGGGGATGATGTGGGAGAATATGTTTGTAAATACATCTGAATAAACCCGTGGCAGATGCGATCAAAACGCCAGCCGAGCGACTGAAAACCCCCAAGTGGCACGTGCCTCGGAAAAGCGTGCGCGGGGTGGGGGAGTCTCCCTTCCTTAGGACTTCCCTCTTACATAAGCCTCGCGGTCCTGGAACAGGATGACTCCTTTTTTTTCTACAGCTCTCCTAATAAATCTTGGCAGGGATAGGGATTTTTTTTTAAATTTTTTTTTTTTAAAGGCACAGATGAAAACTTCCTTGTCTTGTATACAAAACCAAAGAGAAGCAAGATGCTGTTAAAGCTTCCCTAAACGAGGCTGGCAGGGATGTGCAGCCAAACAAAACGTATTTTAAAATATGCATAAATAAGAGTTGGTTTCCTTGCAAAAGTTCCCTCTGTTCCCCTGGGAGAGCCAAGGTGCTTGTTGTCAGGCAGAGGAGAGCGGGAGTAAACACATTGCTCTGGCCAAAAACGTTCCTGCTCTGGCAGGAACGGGCCCTGCAGCCCCTCTGGGTGATGGCTGTGGGGTGAGGAGGGCAGCATGGAACAGGAGGGCCAGCCCGCTCGTGCCGTGCCCAGAAGGATTTATGTAGGTATGGCAACAGCCCAGGACCTCAGAGAGGCTTTTTTTGGTGGATTCCAGCCCCTCCACTGCCAGCCCCCAGCAGGACGTGATGGCTTAGCTTCAGCTGAGAGAGCTGTGGCATCCTCAGTGCCCACTCTGGGTACCAGAGGAGCAGCTTAGAGACCCCCCCTTCCCCCAGCTGCTCCTTCTGAGATGCTCCAGCTCAAAACCCCCTTCAGGGGGTAATGTCCTGCCTCCAGTGCCTGTGTTGAGACACATCAAAGTCCTGAGCAAAGGTCACAGCTCTGGGTTCTCTGCTCCACAACCTTTACTCTACAGCATTCGGGGCAGTCGTGCTGCTGCCTTCCCTGTGAAACTGGCACTGCCCCTGCCAGTGCTGCAGCGACACAAACCTCCGAGGCCACAGCGCTGCAGCTTTGCCTCTGTTCTTGGAAGTCACCAGTGCAAAGGGTAGGGTTTGGTTTCAGTGCTTCCATGTGTAGTCAGGGAGCCATTTGCCACTTGCGTCGTCGTTCCCTTTGGGGTCATCAAGGAACTGATGCGCTCGGAGAGAAGAGGCCACGTTCAAGGCACAAATTCCTCTATTCATGAATTAATTTTGGTGAGGAGGAAAAAAGAACACAGGATGAGGCACTATAAGCTGTTCATGCTTCAGCAGAACAGAGTGGTATTTCATCTAAAATAATCTCCCTGCTGCATGCACAATAAAAGATAAGCCATAAGAGCGGGAGTAAACACATTGCTCTGGCCAAAAACGTTCCTGCTCTGGCAGGAACGGGCCCTGCAGCCCCTCTGGGTGATGGCTGTGGGGTGAGGAGGGCAGCATGGAACAGGAGGGCCAGCCCGCTCGTGCCGTGCCCAGAAGGATTTATGTAGGTATGGCAACAGCCCAGGACCTCAGAGAGGCTTTTTTTGGTGGATTCCAGCCCCTCCACTGCCAGCCCCCAGCAGGACGTGATGGCTTAGCTTCAGCTGAGAGAGCTGTGGCATCCTCAGTGCCCACTCTGGGTACCAGAGGAGCAGCTTAGAGACCCCCCCTTCCCCCAGCTGCTCCTTCTGAGATGCTCCAGCTCAAAACCCCCTTCAGGGGGTAATGTCCTGCCTCCAGTGCCTGTGTTGAGACACATCAAAGTCCTGAGCAAAGGTCACAGCTCTGGGTTCTCTGCTCCACAACCTTTACTCTACAGCATTCGGGGCAGTCGTGCTGCTGCCTTCCCTGTGAAACTGGCACTGCCCCTGCCAGCGCTGCAGCGACACAAACCTCCGAGGCCACAGCGCTGCAGCTTTGCCTCTGTTCTTGGAAGTCGTCAGTGCAAAGGGTAGGGTTTGGTTTCAGTGCTTCCATGTGTAGTCAGGGAGCCGTTTGCCACTTGCGTCGTCGTTCCCTTTGGGGGTCATCAAGGAACTGATGTGCTCGGAGAGAAGAGGCCACGTTCGAGGCACAAATTTTTTGCCACTTGCGTCGTCGTTCCCTTTGGGGTCATCAAGGAACTGATGCGCTCGGAGAGAAGAGGCCACGTTCAAGGCACAAATTCCTCTATTCATGAATTAATTTTGGTGAGGAGGAAAAAAGAACACAGGATGAGGCACTATAAGCTGTTCATGCTTCAGCAGAACAGAGTGGTATTTCATCTAAAATAATCTCCCTGCTGCATGCACAATAAAAGATAAGCCATACTTCTGAAATTCGAGATGCAACAGAAAGAAAATTGCTATTCTTAAACTGATGGCACTGAAAATGTTTCCTGGAAGAACAAATGTTCCTTTTTCCCAGGAAACCAAGTTGATACGTGCTCAAGCTAATTACCATGGGAAATTTAGGTCCCTTGCTAGAAAGCAGAGAACAGCTCTAACTGTTCTCTTCAGCTACCTTATTGATAATAAAAATACAGAAATCCAAAGAACTAATCCCTTGCTTAGCCGCTTAATTAAAAAAAAATATCTATGTTGCTACATTCTTTATTTGAGTATATGTTCCCCATTGCCTCTGTAAGAACGACATGGAAGCATCTTCCAAAACAGATGAGAAAAGTAAAGCAGCCAGGTCTCACTTGCACATGGAAAAGTGCTTTGAGGTGGGGGAAGAGACAGAGCTGGGGGTGGGAGGAAAGATTGATCAGCCTGCCTGATAAATGAGATTATAATGAGATTCAGCAGTGGGGAGCTGGTCAGTTGGACTGAATCACAGAATCACAGAATCTTCTAGGTTGGAAGGGACCTTAAAGATCATCTTGTCCAACCGTCAATTGGAACTGAGCACTAGAAGACACTCCAGCTCCCAAGCTGTGAGGGTAATTACACATTGGAACAGCTCGACAGGCTGGGTGGGACGTCCTACACCTTAAAACGAGCCCATTAACAAAAAACAAGAATCCGAGGCCAAAGCTGTCCCTGTGACTCCCTGCAGCCCTCCCTCCAGCCCGCAGGTAATTTGCTTCAACAGACAGAAAGGGTCCCCTCGGTGTGCTGGCTGCCACGGGGCCAAAGTCAGCTAAACTGCTCTGCCCCTCCTGCTATTTTAGGACAGAAGTCAAGCCTCTCGCTGAGCCCGTGCTGGGATGGCTCTGCTGAAGGTCACCGATGGACCTCGGGACGCGTGGCTCACTGATGTGTCTGGGATGCTTAATCTGGGGAGGCTGGGAGGAACTGTGGGCAGACTACAACACCGGTGACTACACACATCACTCCCCCAACTGGGTCCAGGCTTGTTTTTCAAACAGCCTCACAGCTTGGAAAAAAGGCTGGGGCTTCTCAGCTTTGGAAACAGAAGCCCTTTGTTTATAGACCAAGCAATAGTGACATCAGCTTTCCCCAGGCTGACTTGCCAGCACGTCTGTGTCCTCCACCACCTTTGGAGCACGGTGGAGTGCAGGGTCCACAGCCCGTTCAGTTCTCCATCTCTTGGCGAAGGCCGTCAGCAAAAATGCCAGTTAGTGCCAGTTGCAACACCGCTGACGAGCTCAATAAAGCAGACACGGACAGTCATTACGGCTCTGCAGAAGAGGACTGCCAGCGCTGGGGTCAGGGAGCTGCCCACAAAGGTTTCTCGGCAGATTCACACACATGAGAGCAAAGGGGTAGAGATACATATTTAAAAGCCTCTCTCTTACCTGCACAGGTTAATCTGGTCACACGAGGAAATTACTCATCTGTACAAAACGCTTTCAAAAGCATGGAAAGGCAGTAAATAGAGACAGCATTCCTGAAAAGCTCGGTCACAGCCAGTTCCTCTAAAAGGAGGAATAGTAGTTTCTACTGTGGAACAGTGATGAAATATAATAAATATTTCCCACGTGTTGCTCAAGCACTTCCAAAACAAAATATTCATACGCTACCCACCTTTTAGTACAGAGTGGTTTTACATGCTGTGACAGACGAAAAAGGCCTGAAACACTTCCATTCGGAAAAGAAGGGGACCGAGTAAGCACAGGGTTACTCTTATATTTGACTCTTTGCAATTGACTCCTCTCTGCAGCTCCCTTAAATATTTCAGGAGTTACAAAGTTTGGCCTGTCTAGGGTCTGCTGAAGGAGCTGAAGTATATTGTAATTTTGAGTAACTCGTGTAAAAGATTGATTTGGCATCTTTAACAGTGGTCTTTTACTCAAAGTACTGAGTAGTTAAATAATTTAAACTGATGTGGACACAAAATTAGGTGGTTTAAATAGTCTAAAAAATCCCTTACTGTAACATCTGTCTCAGTCTTGCTCTGTGATGGACTGTCCTGCCATAAATCTGCATCTTTCTCCTCGCCACAGTCACAGCCTGGTACGAGCATCGCCAGAGGTGGGCACCTTAAATTTAGCAGAAGGTGCAAGTATTAAGTACACCTAAAAATCACTCTGCTCGTGAAGATGTATAGATACGGAATGTCAAGCCTAACTTCAACTTAGCACTGCACAAAGAAAATAGGTAAAGATTTCATAGAGATTCAGAGGGAGAGGGCTGTTAAAGAACAGGCTCCTCCGTGTGGACAAGTCTTGCAAACTGAACCAACCTGAGGCAGGCATTATTAAGTAAAAATAGAGAAAAGGAAGTGGGAAACCACCAAGTGCAAGACCTGCAGGGAGAGGAGGCCTTGGCTACAGGCACAGCTGCAATGACAGACAGTTTTGAAAACAAAGTTGAAAATGGCAAGGACAAAGATGCAGCACGGAGGCATGGAAAGACACAGACTAGAAATGGGCCAGGGTGCCAGGTTTGTTTCCTAATCCCTATTTGTCCTATGTCTGGTGTTCAAGTCATAGAGGTTTTTGACTTGAAATCTAACAAATCCATTGACCTCAGCAGATCATTGTGCATTGCATCACCCCACTTTCAGACCAGTGTTCCCAACTAGACAAACAAAGT